CACACACACACACACACACACACACACACACACACACACACACACACTTTGATGTGAGAGCTTGTGTGATTGTGGCATTTTGGCACTGCAGCAATTTTGACTGATATCAATTTAACCAAAGCAGAAATTACAAGCAGCGATTCCAACTTCTTGGTGCCACACCTTTCTACAATCGTGCTCATTCGCCACTCGGCATGTGATTTCACTTGACTGAGTTGTTAGAGACCAAATGTGAAGAGTTGCTTACACTCCAGAACATGATATTAGAGAGGTGGTGATTACACCCTGTTTGACAGGCTGTGCTCACCGACCTTTGTTCATTTAGGGCTAATGAATTGCTCTGTCTCTGTGAGCTCTGAGGACATAATGAGCCTCGAGAAGGAGACGGACATGAGGAGAGAGAAGGAGAGGGTCCTTTTGAAAAGAGGCAAACGGCACATTCAATATTATCGGGTATGTGATGTGATTATTGGCGTCCTCCACGTCCAATGACACCGATGAGAGGATAGATTGGTTCTGCTTCAGAGGCACAAAGTTGTTGTCGTTCGCACAACTTCCAGGCTTTATGGAGCAATCATTTATTTGATTCACGTTTAGCTGTAACTGCTGTGCTATTTTCTCAGTTGTGATGCAGTCAGCTCACCTGCTGAATAAGTGTCTTGTAAAGGTGAGAAAAGGAAAACTAGGTAAGATGTTACCAGATCCATGCGAATGACTTCAGAGCAACATAGTTTCTCACTTTTCTGACCTAAATGAGGTTAACTGTGGTTTAATTTCAGACAGATTTATTTTCTTTACTCACGTGTGTCACTGTGCTGATATTCACATGTTTGAGAGGGTTGTTTGCAGTTTGAAGGGGCAATCCACCAAGCTTTCACATAAAGATGTGTTTACTCATCATCAGGAGTACAGTACTAAAACTGTGAAGAGAGTATTATGTATTCTATCCATCTGTGTCTCTGGAGGAGTATTGTCATCTTAGTCTGGGCAAGGAAACAACAAATTGATGACGTAGCGTTCAAAAGATGTCTGTGTTTCCCAGTAAGGAAGGATATTTATTTAACTATGGAAGTAATTACGAGTTTCCAACTTGTAAGTTGTGTCAACATCCAAGTTGTTAGTTACGACTGGGATAGTCCGATTTTTCTGAATGCTCTGATGATGATGATGGTGATAATGTGAAAGAGGTGCTTTGAAACGCTATCGAGCTGCATTATGGGAAGTGATTCGGAGCCACGTTAGGGAACTTAAAGTCAGACTATCACACTATCTCTGCTTCCTCAGTTTTCATCATTCTTTTGTCTTCTTCTGTGTCTTCCACCTTTATGGAAATGCAACACTAACTTGCTTGTCAGCGAGCAAAACATTTTAATGTCAGTTCTTGATGACGCAGCCTTTAACAACACTTAAGTTAGATAAGCACAAAGACAGGAAATACAATTTAAAATCATCTCAGTCATATCCACCCTCTGAGGAAATAGTGAGCAGAATGTGAGTGGTCCTGTCCTCTGTATTTGTAGTTCCACTTACATGTTTATGTTTGTGTTTGTGTGATCTCTCTTGCAGGTTAAAAGACTTAACCATTTACAACCCTGAGAGGACCATCATGGTGAGGGGCAGCTTGGATGAGAGTTGTAAAGCCGAGGTGGAGATCATGAAGAAACTGAGGGAAGCCTACGAGAACGACGTTGCTGCTATAAACGTAAGCTGAGCTTAAAGGTTACCATCTGCGGGCCTCTTGATCTCGTTATGATCTCAGGTTGACTCACATAGGCTGACAGGTGAACAACGGAGTGATGATATACAGCGGGATGATATCGCCTCCCCTTTCAGTACACATTACCACCGGCATTAGTAATACCCGTTGTTGTCTACTTGGTAAATGGATAACAGTAAACGATAGCTGAATAGCTCATCAGTGAGTGTTTGTCTACAGCGTACTTGTGTGTGTGTGTGTGTGTGTGTGTGTGTGTGTGTGTGTGTGTGTGTGTGCCTGTTCCACACAGCCTCTGACTCACGCTCACTTCTCCGCTGTGTGTGTCTGTGTTCCTGCTGTAACACACTGCTTTTCCCAGCATCCATCTAATATCTGTAGGCCGCTCTCTCACCCTGCTCCTCTCTCACACTGCCTCGATGCCATCACCAGCGATATCACACGCTGCACACTCCCTACAACACAGAGAGACGACTGCTGTATTCGCTGTGACGATGCTCTCCACGATGAGCGGCAGTTACTCAGAATTGATATCTGTTTTTGTTCTCCTACGTTTTGACAATTATTGGCTCAGAAATAAACATTAAGAAGTGTCACGCAGCATGCGGTTAAATTGTACTGGCAGGGGAGAGCAGATCTGGCACCTGTCGGGCTCAGCGTGGACTCTACAGTAAGCGGCGAGGGCCATCTAGTGAGACACTGTGGATATTACACAAAGCGCACAGGGAACAAGGAAGTGAATAGAGGCCGCGTGTCTCTTCACAGACATGAAACCAGAATAGCTGAGTTGACTTTGAGGAAGAAATATTTTTTAGCAAACAGCCCTGTTTTTGATGTTGTGACAACGCATTCTTCAGTCGTAGTCAAGTGTGTCTTTTTAAATGCTTTATTCATCTTAAGAAGTGGGATTGTTTTCTCCACCCATTAAAGACCACTTGATCCTTCACTGTATCTGATACATGGTTGTCTCAGGACAGTGAAAAGATACACAAATAAAACACACTTTACATGATTGATGGGTATATATAATTGAGTCAGTAGTAGTAAAGGAACAGTTCACAAAACAAGCAATTCACTATTGTTGTTAACTTTTTTTTCATTATTAATTAATCAGCCGATTATTTTCTCAATGAATCAGTTAAAAATAATAGCTTGTCAAATCCCAATAAATTAAATTTAGTGTAACAGAAAACAAAGAAAAGCAGCATTTGCTTATATTTAAGAAACTGGAACCATTTTCTATTTTTGCTTGACAAATCATTTTAACATTATTTGATTATCAGGATTGTTGCTGTCCACGTCTCTTACCACATTACATTGTGCACGACATATTTCTTATCTTACAGGTGATGAAGAGACGACATGAAAAAGAACAGTTAGATTGATTTAAGGACCTTATCTTTGTTTTTAGTTTTTTTTAATAAAATAAAAAGATTTACTTACTGACACTAATAAGAGATTTGCTCCTGTGGTTTCTCTTTTACCATTTATTAGACAAAGTTGTGCTCACTGTAGAATGATTTTTTTAGAATGTGTTAACTGTGTTAGTCAGCGTCTTCTTGCAGAAGGAAACACAACAATTCTGTTTCGATTGATCTCCTCCTCAGCATATTGGCAAAATATTTTTTTGTGAAAAATGTTCCTTAATTAAATTCTAATGTATCGTCTTTCTTGTAGCTTTCAACTTGTGGTTACAATCTGCCTCTCTTCTTCTGCACAGCAACAGGCCAACCTGATCCCAGGCTTGAACCTGAACGCTCTGGGAATCTTCTCCTCTGGTCTGCCGGTTCTGCCCTCTGCTGCTGGACCACGTGGTGCAATGCCCTCTATGGCACCATCAGGATACAACCCATTCTTAGTGAGTATGCTCTTTTTAACCTCTGAACACATAAAAGGTGGTGAAAAATATTTTTAAACGCTTCTTTTAGAATGACTTTACCGCTATTGGTTATACCCGCCCAGCTCAGCATTGCACAGCTCCTCCAGGGAATAGTTTTGACTTGATAAAGCAATTTTTTCTCCAACACATGGTAAACCAGGTTCCCCTGGAGTGCTTTTTGAAAAAACAACACAGTGTTGACTCAGGTCTTCCTGCATGATGTACACAACACAGTTAGAAACGACCAGAATTCCCCCATCTTTTCCAGAGATGAGTCAGTTTGTCTGTAAAACAAAGTATCCACTCATTGCCTGACGAGGTCAAGCCAAAGTGGTGTGTCACAGTGTGTGAGAATGTATTTGCGTGCGTCGTAGTCAAGAAGGTTAATGTCTGAGTCACTGTGAGTTAATGCCCTGAAATTCCCCCCTTGCATGTGTCTGTAAATGTGAGTGTTTGTGTGCCATCTGAACGGTCTGCTTGTCACTTCACTTTTAGAGTCACTCTTCACATCTCAGTGGCCTGTACGGGGTTCCTCCAGCAAGTGCCATCAGCCACCAGCACTCAGTATGTTCCCTAAAATCTGCACTACAGTCAATGTTGCCTTGGTGATCAGAGATTTAACCACTAATTACTTGGTTTTTGTGAAGCTAGATAAATATTTTAATAGTTGAAAGCATGTTTTTTGCACACAAAAAGCTTTAAAAAAAAGCCTCACGCTTAGGATGTTTTCGAAGCATATAGTCTCTCTTTGCAAGTGACTTAGTAAACATGGGAAGGACTGCCACAGTGTGGAGAAAAAGAGGAAGGTATAAGACTAATGGACAGGGGGACATAAATAACAGACCATGAGAACCTCTCAGTCAGCGGCTATGATGAGTGAGTATGGCATTCCTGCACACCATCACCCAGTCACCAGAACACCACAAATATTTCTGGAAGGAGACTTTTCAGCCCGGTGTTGTCCTCTGGCTCAGAAAAAAATCACTTCATAAACCTTGAGTACATGAGTTTTACCATGCTAAGAAAAACAAAAACATAGGGCAACCCTCGGCCCTAATAGGAAATATTCCGCTTCGACCCGGCAGGATGTTTACCCGAAGAGAAAACCCTCAAAGAGAGCTCAGTTTAGCTTTCCTTGCATGTGGTGTCATCGCTTTCAGTATTAAATAAAACATTTTGTAACTGTTTAAAGCGGTTTTGAAATGTTTTTCTCTGCCACAATCAGCAGCAGAGTACAGTAAATGTGTTGTGAAATACTTTCCTCTGTGTGATCTGTTTTTTAAGCAACAGGCTCCAGAACAGGAGGTTGTCTACCTCTTTATTCCAACTCAGGCAGTCGGGGCCTTGATTGGCAAGAAGGGCCAGCACATCAAACAACTCGCCCACTTCGCTGGAGCTTCCATCAAGGTGGGTTAATAGAGCGCAGACTTTGATTGAAGAGGTCAAACCGTGTCTAAATCAACATGCTACACATTCTTGGAAGCGTTAGGGTGAAGTTGGCAGTCAGTGCTGGCTGAGTCAGCTGCATGTCATGGACCACAGCTGAGGATGTTAGTTCATTATGGTCAAAAGAGGAGATGACTAGTAAGCTGAGCATCTTGATCTGGAGGGATTGAACAGCTGGTCAATGAATTCTCATATTGTAATCTAAAGCTATATATTCGTAGGAATTTGCAGACTTCTCAGATGATTCAGTGGTTACATGCACTGAATGACTGCAGCGCAAAATCACCAGCTTTTGTCCGCATTTTCTCCCCATTTGTCTCCATAACCCGTCTGTGTGTGTGTGTTTGCGTTTCTCAGATTGCCCCAGCTGAGGGTCCAGATGTCCCTCTAAGAATGGTTATCATTAGTGGAACCGCAGAGGCTCAGTTTAAGGTAAGAGCACAATAAATGTGTGTATGAATATGCATTCAAATTTGATTATTTAACACTGAAAGTGTATGCATCCATTTGGAGGATAAAATAGCTACTTAAATTATTATTTAAATGGTCCTGTATTAAAGTAAACAGAGGCGGATCACTGTGTATCCCCATTTCCCCCAGTCTCTCGTTGCCTCATTCCCTTCTCTGTATTCTAGGCCCAAGGTCAGATACATAGGAAGCTGAAAGAGGAGAACTTCTTCTCAGCGAAGGAGGAGGTCAAACTGGAGACGCACATCAAGGTTCCCTCAACTGCAGCTGGCAGGGTCATCGGTAAAGGCGGCAAAACGGTGAGTTGATGCTTGAACTGAGTTATGGTCGAGGATGGAAAAGAAAGTTGCATTTACTTACGTTACTTTAGCATAAGCATCAAATAGCACCTGATTTGCTTTGGTTTTATTAAAGGGTGTTTCAGTTCACCTTAGTGAGTAATGTGTGTTTTGTAAGTGAGGCTGGAGGTGAAATTCAAACCAAGATAATGATCACTGGAGTCGGGTTTTTTTTTCAGGTAAACGAGCTGCAGAACCTCACGAGTGCTGAGGTCATCGTACCGCGGGACCAAACTCCAGACGAGAACGACGAGGTCTTTGTGAAAATCAGCGGGCATTTCTTTGCCAGCCAGGTACGCACAACAAGGTTTAAAGGCCCTGTAATCTGACACAGGTGTCGTCAGTCAATTGGGCTGATTAGTTTGTTCATTTCAAATACCTGTTACAAAAGAATGGCTGTTATTAACGCAGTGGCCACCATGTACCATGTAGGTGCCGCATGCAGAGAGACGATCCCTAAAAGTGCAAAAGGCATCATGTACTCTACAATAAATAGAGGAAAGCAATCCAGTCGTATGCTCTTCCCAAACATTTCCATATATATATATATATATATATATATATATGCAGGAAAAAACACTACAAAAATACTACAATACAATTCATTCACCCACACATTCCAAACTGCCTCTTTTGATGCTTTGCAATTCATTGAAACGTCTATATCTAACGTCTAAACAGTCTATATCTAGCGTTTAACTAAATCAATTTACATATAGGTAATAATTAAGTCAGTCTTTTCTATTCCTCTCTTTTTTTTGGAACATGGACACCTTGTCAGATATCAATTAACGCCTCGTCCCACATGTGATATCTCTCCAACAGACTGCACAGAGGAAGATCAGGGAGATCATTCAGCAGGTCAAACTGCAGGAACAGAAGCACCAGCAGGGTGGCGCCGTGTCACCGCACCACTCCAAGTGACCAGCGGGGTGGCTCCAGCGGGCGCCTGCCAATGAATGTAGCCCTCCTAAACAAACAGAGAACTACCCAGACAAAGGCCAAGGCCAAGGGGGACATGCAGGGCAGACCAGCAGCACCGGGATCAAAACCAAAGAACTTCACTAGGGGGAAAACAAGTGAGAGCCAAAGGCTGAGGGCATTGTGTGCACTGCCAGCCCTGTGAGAGCAGATAGAGTGGGAGAAAACCGTACTGATATAATATAACAAGAAAAGACCAAAAAAAATCTACAAGAAAGGTGGAAATGACAGAGAATTTGGCACCTGTTGTTCTCACAGTTAAAAAGGTAAACAGGAAATAGTATGTTGCCCTGCATAACGTTATCTCTTTAGTTGGACTAACATAGGCCTAACAAACTGATAAAGCATTGGTATTAACATGAGCATATAAGGCATTGTGATTATTATTTTGGGTTAGGACGAGAGCGAGTGACAATGGACACCTTCTCTCACAAGAGTTTGAGATATTAAGATTGCAAAACTAAATGTCGTTAGCAGTATTAAAACAGCGTAGATATATTGATACACACTGAGAGTATGCACTGTTATTTTTCTATCAAAATGGCAGTACAACTTGGTGTGGTTTTTAATATGTTTAACTTGTTCTAGAGATTGATTGGGCTGTGACAGCCACATAAAGCAGTTTCCCTTGTTTGTTCACAATATAGGCCACTGAAATCAAAAAGAAAAAAAAACCCTATAAAAGTAAATGGACCTTTGTAACAAAGCCTGTGTGTGCCAACGTAAAAGATAACGTCCCTTTGAAATGTCTCTCACCATTCATATCTGATGCTTTCCTGCTTTTTTTTGTTTCTTTCTTTTCTGCTAATTTCTGATTCACTTTCTCATCACTCTCTCTCATTTGGCATGTTTTTTTTTAATAGGATGAAAATATTTGTTGTAAAGAAACACTTTTTGTCCCCCCCCCCCCGTAGCCTTTTGATAACATTGAACTGACTGCCACTTTCACTCAACAAAGGTTAAATACAACAGAGGTGTTTTCATCACTCTTCCATCACGTGCAGTAGACTATATCTACATTCATGCTTGTCCTGATAAAAAAAAAAAAACTATCAAAAGGGTGTCTCTAAAGGCATTCTCCTCAATGATCAGAGCAAAAATTGACGTCTTTAAAAAAATGTATCCAGTCATTTTGAATGTGTACCGCCACACGCTCTGCCTTATGAGGACATCTCGAGGGCCGACATAAAATATCAGCTGAGGGCCCAGAGAGGGGACGTGGGCTTAAGGGGAGCTGGGGTGGGAGGGTGCAGACTCAAGGTGTGTGGAGTGGCAGTAAGGAAATTGTTTTGGGTAGAGGGTGGGTGGTGGTTGGGGTTGGGGAGGCACCGGGAGGAACTGTATGACCTGTGGTACACACACAACCGCAAACATGACCGCGGCCGCGTTTGGCTTCAACCCTCTCTTGTCAGGGAGCTTTCTAAAACGGCATGACAGCTGTGAATGTACGATATACAGCCTTTTTAGAAATTTTCACCCCTGCCGTGTCCAGCAGGCCGGCACAGAGGCACAGATTGCCATTGTCATTCTCACTCTCGCTCTCTTTTCTGTTAACTTTTCTTTTGTGTTTCTTTTCTTTTGGCGAGCTGGAGCTGGATACGCAGGTCCTGGTGTCCCTTTGTGCTTTACTTTGGAGACCATGGAAGCTTGTTGCCTTATTTTGTCACCTTTCAGACATCACCCCATCAGCTGCATCTTCCAGACGCAAGGTTATTGCCAATACGCACAGCTTCCTCCATGTGTGTGTGCACATGTGTGTGTGTGTGTGTGTATATATATATAAAAAGAGAGAGTAATATTTATGAATCTATTTTTTTTCCTATTTTGTGATGAGAGCTATTGATAAGAAACAAAAAGAAAACAAAGTCCTTTTCTTTTTTTTCCTCAGTGGGACACTGCCATATTATTTTGAAGGGAAGTGTTTATTTTCTTGAAAACTAGACTATGAATAATATAAATAAAAACCTGAAAAAATAGGAGAACAGTAAAGTGAACCGCCGCGTTAACTTTGGTCAGGATGTGAACAGTGCGCATTTCAGTATTGTGATCTACCTCAGGCTTCAGGGTACCTCAGTCCAATCTTTCATTTCCCCCTTTTCCACATTTTATATGCCTTGTTAACTGATCATTTGAGCGTTTTAAATTTTCTTTTTTAATGAAAAAAAAAAGAACAAGACAAAAGATCTACAGTAGGCTAATCACTAAACTCTTCAGGTCCAGCCAACTAGTGAAACTTTGTAAACCGTAGTCAACTCCGTTGGACTGTCTTCGCCTGGACGCCATACAACCTCTTAATGATATACGTCAAAAGGATTTCCAAGTACATTTTTGCTAGAACGGAATGAAGAGCAGGATGTAAGGGGTACATACCTGCCCGCCGAAGTGGTTCTGAATGTGGATGTTGTGTACTGATTTCACCATCAAAGAAAAACAAAAAAGGTACAAATCAGTTGATAGAAACCGAAACCAACCAACTGTACCTCCTGTTTATCCCAACTGTACCTCCAGCTTTTTGTTTTTAGACTTTTAAACAAAACAATGAAGTTTATTCACTTGTGAAAAAAAATAAAAAATCTTACCAGCTCTTTTTGATAACAGCATACTCTGGGGTTGATTTGACGAAAACACGAAGCTTACAAAAAATACACTGACGGGACTTTTGAACATGGTGTACAAACCCTAGTCTTCTGTGTAGAATGTAGAACAACTCTAGTCGTTAATATGTCACTGTGTATGACAAGATAACTGTATATCTGTAAACATGTACAATAGAGTCACACATAAATGCATCATTTTCGTCTCTCTATAACACTTATCAGTCTGCACCTGCGTTGTGAGAGATGGTGGGAGAATTTTAGAGCGCCACAGCTTTCCTCAAAACTGAGATTTTGTTGTTGTTGTGCTGTACATTTCAGAATTACCTCTCAGAATCCACGGCTGACTTTAGTTACTAAAAACAATGTAGGGCAAAATAATTAAATAAAATGAATGATATAGTGAAAGTTAGTGTTTGTCTTTGGAGTCCTTTTACCTGTTGAGAGATGATTTTTACCTTTTTTTCGAGGGCAGACATTTGTCATCAGATGAGTTGGATCCTTTTCGTCCCAGTGAACACAGACTAGCAGTGCTAAAATAAACATAAAAGGTCTATCAAACTCACACAATGCCTGAGGCTGTTTCAGCAAGCCTCCCCACAGCCGGCACAGTACCTCATACTGATGATAGCTCACCAGACCTGCTTCAAATACCCTGACCTTACACACATGAATGCAGTGCGGTGCTTCTACTGGAACGTGCGACCCCCGTAGTGGTCTGGTTCACTGTAGGAGGGCATGTCGAGGAGAAAACGGCAGTAGCACTGGCAATTGCAGTTTGTCCCACGTGTTTTGTTTGACTTGTCAAACTTTTTAAGAGCAGTTTTGAAGTTGAGGCTCTTTTCTTGCATTGCAGAGGACTCTTCAGACCTCTGTCGCTCTTGTGTTTTTGGCTCTTTACACAGCAAGGGACGGTTTTCCTCCAGCTGGTTTGGTTTCACTGTGGTGCTGTCGGCACAGCGTCCTGGTTGTTGAGACATCTGCAAGCCGACCGCAATCTGAGGGGAAACTTGTCAAGATGACAGTAACCTTTGTTTTTTTTTCATTTTACTTCCAAGGATTGGTGTTCCTAGGTTTTGTGGGGTGTTGCTAGACATAAATATTCAGTACCAGAAAATACAAATACACACATCACTGTACTGTGTTGTTAGTCATGATAGTTTAGTTTTTTTTTTCTGTTGATCTGGTTTTCTCATCATTTACACTGATTTAATAACGTAGTCCGGAGCAGTAGCTGCGAGTCTTTGCTTTAATATTCATTCCTTTTAGGTCACTACCAATAATACTAGTTGTTAAATTGTGGTTGAAACATATCCTAGCTAGGAGTTCTAACATATTTGAGAATCAGAATGGCAAAATAAATGAATCTGTGACATGCAAAGAAGTCTGATAAAATCTTGTTCTGCCTTTTGAAACTAAACAAAAAAAAAAGAGGGCATTCAACAACCATCCAAAAATCACAGCTGAGGAAGAATTTAGTAAAGTCTGGTTGGATGTATGCAGAACCACAGCAGTGTTTTTGTACCGTCTTGTTGTTAAATGGGAAAACACAAAGTATTGCATGAGACTGTTGTCGGCGGTCCAGTATGTACACTTCATATAGCACCAGACTTTCAGTAGTGGTTTTACATGGATCCATTTCTTAACTGCATTTCACCGTTTGGGAGATTCCTTTTGTTACAACCCTCAAGTCCTACATTTCCCACGGGCCTGAAGGTCCCACACACCTCAAGGTAATCGGTGACTGTGCGCTGGACAGACGGATGATCCATTTTGAATCCATCTTGTGGATACATGCCTTTCTGGAAACAGTCACGCTGTTGTTTTGAGTTGTGAGTGAACTGTATTGCTGAGCAACCTGGATCTGAGCAATAAAGAATATTTGAAAAAACAAACTAAAAAGAAAACTGCTTTTTCTTCATGATTGCCATTTTATTATTTCTGAGGTTTTTTTCCCCTCTAAAATAAAAGATGGCGCGTCATTTGTGATGTAAGACGCTATAAATGTGCATTACACTCAAAATTATTTACACCTTTGAATTTACAGAAATCTGACATAAGACATTACATCTTAACCCACATGATGAATGAGTTGAAAATATAACCAGTACTGTACCACACACACACACACACACACACACACACAGTGAAAAGAGGCAGCGCTGCCTGAACTAACTGCACATAAAGAAATCCAGCTAGTTAGGTATCATGACATTTGGTCTAAAAAAAAATAATGATGTAATTCAGTTGTTTACTCAAAAAGACTCGGAGGCCAAATTACACAATTTGAAAAACTTTGGGGTTGGAGTTTAAAAAGAGTAAAAATTGTCCAACACACTGTATTACAATTTGTGCTGAAATTGCAAAATGTGATTGTCAAACAAGAAAAATACAAACTTCCAAGTTGTATAATATGCTGCAAACATCATACATATTTCAGTTACGAATCAAATAATACAAACAAACTTAAAACAACAATCATCTGAACCATCCAGCCACATTAAACATGAGTAGTCGGTCACATTAAGTCCATGTTGGAGGTAGAAGTTTGAAACGATCACTGCACGACAGGCACTTAAAACACTAGCTATTAGCTTGCACTAACAATAGTGCAAGAGCAAAGTCTCCTTCAAATTCTCCACATGATTACTGTACATTCATACATCCATATACACATATATGCTGTGCCCTTAGAAGTTGTGGCACAGAAACACCAACATTTGGTTACACAAAATACTTGGCTTCAAACTCATTGCGCCAGTCTTATTTCCCTAAAAGCACCCCAGATAAAAGAAACCTTTCGCCGTGTATGTGTAGGCCAACCACCACTTTAAATACATTCACTGTCGAGGGTAGAGGGCATCAAAGCGCCAGACAACCAATCACTGGACCTTCTTCTCTGAGATGAGCCCGTTCTGTGGTTGGACATCCAGCTTGAGACGCTTCTGACTGTATCGGTGGATAAGTGCGCCGGGCAGCAGAGCCATGCAGGCGATGGCCAGCAGCTGCAGTAGCCTCACCCAGGAGAACAAGTCATCCAACGACGCCACCTCAGACAGCATGACGCCCGTCTGGACACAGATGAAGTTGTACGGCAGGAGGCCTACGAAACGCAGACAGCAGAACAAAAACTGTAGTTAACACATCATGCAAAGCTTTAATGCAGAATGTGCAGTTGCAGAAATCCTCGATGAATGCTTTTAAATCTAAAAAGGCACGTAATAAAAACATGTCTCTCGCTGAATGTGAAGTCCCTTTTCTCTTAGCGTTTACATTATAACAATGGAAAATGGTCCGTGTTGTTTTGCTTCAGTGAGCTTCATGACGTACAGCATGATGAATGTGTCGTCACATCGTTTACCAGTCAGGCGATCGTGTGTGCTTACCAATGAAGACTGAGCCGAAGAAGAAGGTGATGGGGATGTTGACGATAGGGGCAGCCATGTTCAGGAACCAGTTGGGAGTCATGGGAAAGAATCTCAGGAAGAGCAGGAAGAAAAACAAACAGTCCTGGTTCTCCTCAACCTGGGAGATGAAGATGAGAGGAGAGGTTGTAAGATGATGTAACAATCTATGAAGGGACAGCAGATACACGTTTGTCTTTTGAGTGTCAATGTTATGTCACCAATAGTCTGACAGTTGAGACAGGGGATTAGTTTACATGTGTCGTAATGAGATATGTTTTGCAGTGTTGTGTATAAAAGTGTACGTGTGATGTCAGAGTATTGAGATGTCCGTGGCAATAAGGTGAACCTGGTCTACGTCTCACTAAGAAGCATCTTTTGTTTGGCGTTTAATAATAAGACACTTTCACATTCGTCTTTTCACTTTTGTACTTGAGCAAGTTGTGCGCGAGTTGTTTACATGGGGTCATATATTTTACCTTCCTCTGCAGCATGGAGACTTTATCGGGGAAGAGGTTAATGATGTAGCGCTTTCCGAAGGCCTTGGACAGCAGGTAGCACATGGTGGAGCCCACAGTGGTGAGCGCAGAGGCCAGCAGCAGTCCTTGATATGGTCCAAATATAGCTCCTGCTAAAATGTTCTGCACAATGACACGTGGAGAGGACCTGGGTTACTAGACATCATCAACATGCGTGTGTACTGATCAGCTCCGACACGCACATCTATACTAACAGTGTTTATAAGTGTAAGACGTTGGGTGTCACGTTAATCAGCAGTGTGGTTGAGTTCTCTTCACCGTGCTGCACGCCAAAATTTAACTAATGTAAGCGGGGAAGAAAAACTGTCACAAAAGCCTAAGATTGCAGACACACAAAGGGAAGTCTGGCATCCCTTTGTTGTTTGAGCTAGCAGGGTATTTTTATCCTCTGCAGCATCTTTAGAGAAGAGAGAACCAGTTGTTTTAGTGGGCCTTCCATGCAAGCCTACTTTCTTTTACGCCGACCAGACATTGCTTTACTCGTATTTTATCTAACATTAGAAATGTCAAAATCAACTGTTTTTGCCTTGTTCAGATTGTCTGCCTTGTTATCCAGCAAAACAGAGAGCATTTTTAACTTTTTATTTATTTGTAACCTTACCAGGAACGAGGATCCAGGAATGGCAAAGGACTGCTTGTAGAGATATGCACTGCAGAAGAGCAGCAGAACATATCCAGTGTGCTCCGTCTTGTAAAACTGCAGGAGCTCAGCCAGTTCCCTCAGCTCCTCCAAGTCTGAGGGGAACTTCAACCTGCAAGAACAAGTCAGCCTCATCATCTACTCTTCTTCGTGTTGACAGACAGGGATGGAAAACATGGACAAAAGATATCATTGGGATCAACGATATTTCAATGAGAGTATATCTGTTAGCACATACATTGTCATGATTCAAATAGTGAGCATTGTTGAACTGGTGACCTGAGTTTAAAAGTATTTCTGACATATTTGTTTAGATCTCATTGTTTACTGGTGATAAGACTAGTTTATTAATAAACCGCCTTATGTAATTTTGCTTATTGGTAATCTCTCTCTCTCTCTCTCTCTCTCTCTCTCTCTCTCTCTCTCTCT